GTGTGTGTGTGTGTATGCCAAGTGCTGCAGCTCAAGCGAAGCACATAATTGCCTCTGCCTCAGCCACTGCCAGCTACCGCTGCTGCTACTGCGGCTGCTGCTGCTGCTGCTGCTGCATATCCTTCGCAGGACCAAAAAAGGAATTTCTAATGTGAAAATAAGTGCTGCCTCCGTTATTATGTTGCATCGTCGCAGAACTTATGCAAAACAGTCGCAGAATTGTTATGCAAATTGCAGCCAATTACATGGCAAATGCCTGCCATGCCCACACGCCTCCCCCCACCCCCCTTCCACGCTGCCTCGTCTACCCCGCCTGCCAAGCATATCTCTCAATGAGCACTCGTACAACATAAGTGAAGTTGCCTTGGCAAATACATTGAACAGCCACACTGAAGCGAACAATTTCGGGGTAATGCTTGATTTTGAGGGTCCGAAAAAGCATGCTTCAGACATTTTGTTGTCAAGTGAAATTGCCTGACAATAATATATAACAGAAGAGTATAGAAATTTGTATAAAAAATTAATAGAAAAGAATTTGAATATATAAAAAATGTTTTTTTTTTTATAAAAGATTTCCTACGAGCTATCTATAAGTCGATTATCGATATACACTTAAGTCTCCTTGTAGTTAAACTAACACAGAACTAACTTGGAAGCCAGTCTTAGTTTGCGATTAACGGATGAGTTGAGCCATTCAGACTGGCCTAGAGATGATCACACTTTTTTCGATAGCAATTTATTGGAAAATCAATTTGTTTACATTTTCCCGTTGGCCATTTATCGATAAGTTAATATGCTTACACTTTTGCCTGAGTGTAGCCGAACGTCTAGAGACAGGCACACGTTCATGCTCCTCTTTTCTGTGCCTCATTCAGGCTGAGGCATGCCACGCAGCTTGTTAAGTGTAACTAAAGCTTGCGTCTGCTCGTTAGTGGGGGCCAAAACTACTCGTATAGCTGCCAGATTATGTTATTATCGGATTTTATTATCGAGTCTCGGCTCGGCAAGTCCAGCATGTTGGGCGTCTGGGAGAGCTGCCTTCGCTGTTGGCTGGCTGAGCAGGTGTTTTTTTTTTTGCTTTCTCCCTTCGTTGTATTCTATGGCACATTAAAATGGACGCATGGTTGGGGGCGTCGGCGCTGGCAGGACGGGGGCGTGTGTGCTGGCTGTTCGCATGCCAAGGCGCCGTCTCATAAAAAATAATAAACTTTCTGCTTCTTCTTTCTGTAGCTGCCATCACTTTGGACTTGGCTGAGCAACTCCGGCGGAGAAAGTTTAAAAAGCGCGCGCCAAAATTGACGCGTGGCAAGGATATGGCAAGGACTCAGCCAGCCAGGCACCGCCGCCTCCCCCCTCTTTCCGACCGGGCGCCATGTCAACGATGTGCGTTATGTGCGGATAATTGACTTTTAAAATGTGTGTGCGATATCACAACAACAACAACAACAACAGCAGCGCGAAGCTGCCAAAAGGGTCGCTGCGTATAATTAAACGGCATATTGTCACGCATCCTTGCAGCGGGGCCCGAGCGAGGATTCAGGGGCAGACCCTCTGCGCCTCAAGGACAAATGGGTAGCAAGGACTCATTTTTGGGCTCTGTTACAAAATGAATGCGGCTGTTGTTGTTGTTGTTGCCATTAAATGTGGCATGTTGTTGTTGTCTTTGACAAATGGTGCATGCACTGATATGTGCGGATGCGGGAGGGTCGCGGCGACAGGGTGCCAGGTCGCGTTTAGGACTAAAAGCAAAGCAGGGAAACTAATTCGGTATGAGATTAAATAAAGATTAAATTAAGTGTATAATGAAAATAGAAATAAAGGAAAGAGATTTAAGATTAAAGAACTGCGTTACAAAATAACATATTCTATTATATTTTATTGCTGTGCTCTTTTATTATTTATTAATTAGAGTTCAATAAAAAAGATTGTATTTGCTGCCAAGAAATTTAAATATTCCGAAATTTGTATTTTATAAAAAAATAAATTGTATGACAAAAACGATAAATATTATTAAATAAAGGCTTTATTCAAAGAAATATTAATTTAAGAGTGTAATATATTTTAAATATATATTTTATTGATTGCCTTATGTGTCTTTAGCTGTGATTCGCCAAGTTTTTAGCAATGTAAACACTTGTATATTTATTTTTGAGCTGAATAAAGTCTAGAAGAATTCGTAGATATATATAAGGGACTTATATAGTGTGAGCTCTGCGAAATCATCGTGACTTTCTTAAGCTCCACACGAAAATATTAAAGACCTCCTGTATTTAATTTGTATAGTTATATAATTTCGCTCGTAATCGTTACGAATCAATCTATCGATAGTCAGTATTGTATTGTTGCATAAAATACCGATAAGAATACTATTAACAATATTTTCTAATCATAATAAAAAGCGAAGTTCCCGAGAATGTCACGAAAATCAACTCTGTCCAACATAGGCAGGCTTTGCTGAGCTGGCACCACAATCGCATGACTTTCAGTGCTCATCTTTTAGCGTAAGTGAACAATAATATGATTAGGATTTGACGTGTATATGCCATGACCTACAACAATCGATTACGGATAGATGTGAAGACAAAAGGGAGGAGTGGAATATGCCGACAACAAGCGAAGCAAATGATGAAACAACCAACTCGATTCGAGGCCTCAGCATTCATCAAGTTATTCACACAATTTCCGCCCAATTGTAATGACCCAGCCCCCCTATCACCCTGCTGCCCCCTGTGTATACCCTAGTGTGTCCAGTCGAGCCGTTCGTCCAACTTTCCGTCTGTCCGTCTTGTCCAGTGGTTTTGGACTGGTCCAAATGCCGCTGCCAGTGACTTATTTATGCAAATGGCCATAACAAATGAGGCGCACACAGACAGCGGAACGGTTGTGCCGGGCAGCGCGGGGGTAGCGGGCGGTTTGGCTGGGTGACAAACGCAACTGAATGCCGACCGCACTGTGGAAACGATTAATTTGGTGCTGGGACACAGTCACAGTTGGCATTGGAGTCAGAGAGACGCAGACGCAGACGCGACGCCATTATAAAGGGCTGACCCTGAGGCAAAAGGGAAAACAATGAGGCGGAGAGGAAAGCGAGAAAAGCGTGGGAACGCGGGAGGAGCGGGGGAATTGTCAGAGCGACGCCGCCGGAGATGTCCAGCATATTGCTCAATCGTGGCCCAGAATGCGTTTGGGCCCAGGACTGAAGCAGCCAGAATGCGAGGCGTGTTGCAGGGAGGAGAGAAATAAACATCCGATAGGGAATATTGCTATAAATATCGATCAATTTTATCGATAATATACAATTAGATAAGTGCAAAGCATACTTACAAAGAAAAGCACAAGAAATATCGATAAATGTATGCTGCTATTTTCTTATTGTATATCCATATAAAATATCGTTTATATCGCGCTCTCGCACTTTCCTATCAATACGATATATGTATCAATATATATCGATATTTCATATCGATAGGAAATATTTATAGTATATCGATATAAAATATCGCAATAAAGTTGAGAAAGCGTTTTTTTTTAGTTTTTGCACTTTATTAATAATCAGAAAACTTGATCGTAATTTCTTCCGCCTTTCCAGTTTATCGATATCAAATATCGCATATAGCATGCTATTCCTTTTTCTTATGGATACGATACGTTCATAGGGATTTTCGTAGCCATCCCTAATGTCGTCCCGATTGTGCAAGGCGGCAGAGGATGCGTCCAGCGTCTGCTCATTATTGAAACATGCTGCTAACATTTGTTATGCAAAGGCGACATTCATGCTAAATGCGAGCGGGGGTGGGCAACGGGGGCGGTCACCGGGGGTCATGCTTGTTGAGTCACATGTATCTGTATCCATCATGCTTATTGGTATATGCCAACCCCCAACCCACCCCCTCTGCAATACCCTCGCCAATGCGCAGAGTTTCATTCATGCCGTTTATTTGACTTGGCGCTTGTGCAAAATTTCTATAAATGCCTTTGCTGTGCCACGCCTCCCCCGCCGCACCACAGCACCATTTTCCCTTACCTACAGGAACTCATCTCTATTGGCAATTTGATGCTATGTTCGGCTTTATCTGGACCTGCGCCATCGCCCAATAGCCCCCTTACCCCGCGGAACCCCGCTCAACTGATGCCATCTTCTTTGGCAACTTTTGTGCCTTTACAAATTCAATGCAATGCGTGTGTATGTGAATGTGTGTGTGCGGGTGAGTGTGTGCGGGTGTGTGTCCTTGCTAAACTATTTACGTGTTTGCGCGGGGCCTTGCAACAGTTTTGTAGGCGCTGCCTTTGCCTTTTGTGTAAGTCTGTCTGTGTGTGTGTGTGTGTATGTGGGGTGCTCTTTAACGGTAAACGTGTGTGGGTGTGTGTGTGTGCGAGTGACAGCAATGTGACTCGCAACGACAGCAACAACAACTGCGGGTTAACATTCAACATGAATGTGTTATCCTTGACAGAGGCTCACTGTCAGCAGCAGCAGCAGCAGCAGCAGGTACGGCAGCAGGTGTGTTGATAAGGGGCAAAGGTCAAAGCTGTGCGCGCTACAACACTCGCAACATTCACTAATCAAATGTTGCCCAAGCGCCATTGAAAAGCGGCGCTAATCAAATTGTTTACTTTGCATCTGTTGAGTGCAAATTAAATGAGGCAAGGTACGCAGCACGGTGCGCACCGCGCGTGACGTCACATCCATGCAATTCTGTTGAATGGGAATGAGAACGTGAATGGAAGAGGGACGCAGAGCGCGCATTTGCATGAGCTCAATCACAAATTGACATGCACGCCTGCCACGGCAGGGCTGCAAATATACCAAAACTTATGGTACACTGTACCTTTTTGACTTAAATAAGTCAGAAAGATTTTAACTTCCTACTTTGCTGGAATTTACTGTTACAACATTGTATCTATTCCTTCCCTTTAACTACTTTCTAAGACTTATATTAATTCTCATATTGAACTTATACTGATAAGTTGGTACATTTATTCGAACTTAGTACACTTACTTGAAATTTTTGGTACATAATCGTTTATATGTACGCATTTACATGTATCGGCATGCACGTGTTCTTTACACAACACGCAAGCCTGTGTGCGTATAAGAGCATTAAATTGCATTAAAAGCAAAACAACAAGCAACAAGAACAACAATACAGGCCGTTGATCAGCGTCCATTGCAAATTAGCTGTGCTTCCAGCTGGAAATTGGGTTAACACATGCGCGCTCTCTCACGCAATAGCAGAATTTAACACAGCAGCTGCAGTTTAACAGAAGCTGATCAGCGCCTTTTGAGCAACGTTTCCAATTGGATAATTAGTTGACACTCGCGCACTTTTCTGCTCATTGAAAAAAAATTACACTAGGCAAGCAAAAACAGACTAATTGGAAATTGAGTAACACACGCTGTCCCTCTCTCTCTCTCTCTCTGGCAATTGTGAAACTAAAGAATTAAGCACAGACGGCCGCCGTTTAACAGAAGCTACTGAGCAGCGTTTCCAATTGGATAATTAGTTGACACTCGCGCACTTTTTGGCTCGTTGGAAGGATATTATACAAATTGCAGCCAAAGAGAGCCTTCACATATCACTGTATAGTTATTTAATAAGCACATTTAACTATGAAAGCAACCAAAATATAGGTTTCCGCAAGTTTAAACCGTATTTGCAGAGCGAAACTGTCTAACACGTGCTCTGTTGCGCGAAAGCCGAACACTAAAAGCAAAGAGCATAAAATGAACTGAAAGCGGCTGCTGTTTACATTTATGTTAAATCGATTGAACAACAACAACAAAGGCAGCTGGTGATCAGCGCCTTTTGAGTTGACTCTCGCGCTCTCTCAGTAATGGCAGAAGTAGAATGGAAGACAAAAAGGAGTCAATTGCAGACATGCCAAGCACCGTTAGTTCAAAGCAGAACAAGATAAAACCGCAATAAAACAGCTAAACTGGAAAGCGACGCTTCAGTTTTATTGCTTTTGGCAAAGTGTAAAGTGTTTGTGTTTTGTGCGCGTATAATTAAAATTGGAAATAAACGAAATAAAAAAAGTGAGTGAAGCAAATTGAATGCAATTAATTATTAAATCATTTCAAGCTAAGCTGAATGTCTTCACGCGTTTAAAAGAGTGAAATATAGTGTAAAAGGTAGCTGCGTCATAGTTACTGTTAATGCTAAAGGTAAGTGCTGTAAAAGTGCTGGAAAGGCCAGCAATGACTTTCCATATGTTGATAATATTAGTGCTTATGTGTATTGAAATTTTGTAAGGGGAATTTATATGCGCAATGCATCAACTTGTCCATTTGCTAAGCGTCTTAGCATATATATATATATATATTTATGTGTGTGTGTGTGTGTGTGTGTGTGGTGCTCATGCATATTTTGCCTGTCACTGATTTCTCAATAGATTTCACAGTGGAATATGCATAAATCATAACGGTTCGGGCGTTAAGCAAAAGTCAGAAAAACCGACAGTTGCAAAGCCAAGCACACACGCATACACACACAGACACACAGACACACTGGCAGCTGTGCTTGCGGCTTGCGTTTTATGCAACACTTTTTTGTCTGCTGTCAGTTTTTATTTGCTCAGCAGCAGCAGCAGCAGCAGAAGCAGTTAAATTTTCTGCTGTGTTGTCGCCGCAGTCAAAATGACTGTGAAAAATAAATGTTAATATGCCAAGACAGTGTGAGAGAATCGTGTGGTCTGTGATAAGCTTGCACACACACACACGCACACATTTATGCATACATAACTGCTGCACATGTGAGACGGACAAACGCTTGCTCCAACCTAACCACACAAGCACAAGCTAGCTTTGCACCCCTCTCTCTCTCTCTTTCGCTTTCTTATTTGGCGTAATATACATAATAAAAGCAACGGCTACTTTACTTCCACATCCACTACTGTTCTCGCATGCCATCTTCCAGTTCTCCATTCTTATACGCTCGCTGTCTCATACTCTGGCCGCCAAGTCCCGTAACTTATAATCTGTGCGGAAGAAATTGCAGCAGCAGCAGTAGCAGCAGCGACGCCAGCGTCGCGTGTAACGCCAAATTTACGAGCAGTGCGCGCTCTTCACGCCTGCTGCCAACTATCTGCTGTCTAGCGCCTTCTCTTTCGCTCTTGCGCACACTTTCAATATTGTTGCGGCGGCATATTTACGACTCTTATGTGTATGTGAGTGCGTGCGTGCTCGTACATGTGTGTGCATGCGTATGCTGCGGACACTTTGCATATTTATGCGACAGCACATGATATTATAAATTTTATAAGATGTTTGTATTTACTTCGATTCCTGGAAACAACTACTTTTAGTGTTTATGGACATGTAAAATTTGAAATGTTTACATTTATTTAGAAATATCTTTGAGTTTTAAATTTTGCGTTAACATGCGTTGTATCTAGACTTAAAGCAGTTGCTATACGAACAGAAAAATATGGCGGCAGATAATATAAGAGAATTAAATACGTTTCATCAGAACTTTAGTTCTAACGCATTTCGTTTTTTTAGCTTTTGATAACTGTTAAAAGATTTTACTAACTAAAAATGTTAGTTGTCATTAGAAATTAGTTGAAATTAGACGGCGTTGTACGGCTTTTTGTACAACAATGAGATTAAATTCGACTGCTTTTGCGAGCATAATACGAAAAGTTCTACAGAAACTCACAAAAATATATTTTTTTTAATATGTTTAATCTAGAAATAGTGTATTTTCTTTATCTACAAGTTTTACTTTCATTGACTGTCACCACAGAAAATTGTTAGAGCACAAAAAATTCGATATTTTTTAGATACTCTATATCTCCCTCTTTGTCTATCTTGATGCTCTTTTGTTGGTGCTCTTCTTTTCGTCATATTTTGCATATTTTCGGTCGGTTTCAGCAGTTTTTATTCTGTCTGCCGTTTCCGCAGCTTTTGTGCATAAATATGATGTTGATTTTTATGATTTTTATAATGTTTCATTATGTTGCGTTTTACGACTCATGCGGGAGCTGTGAGACGCACACATGGTCGGGTCATATACGGTGCGGTATGCGGATGCGGATGCGGATGCGGATACACAATGCACTCACTTCGTTTCTGCTCTAATTTATGGGCTCATCTCTCTTGTGTTGTTGTTGTCGTTATTGTTGTTGTTGTTGTTGTTGTTGTTGTTGCTGTTGTTGTTATCTACTTTTGGGCCTCTGCTTAACAGTTGTAACACTCGGTGCCCCGCTTTACACATTTTATGTGCGCTCAAAAGCCAATTTTGTAGAGATTTGGTAACGGCCCATGGCCACCGAGGAAACTTGCGCCCCATTATAAGCGCATAATCTTTAGAAAACACACACAAACACACAAGCGCGCACACACACACACACACACACACACGCACAGGCACAGGCACACACTCGCATAGACACTGGCAACAAGGCTAAAAATGAAATGGCTAAGACCCCTCCCTAAGCCGCCTTTCTAAGCTATGCCCGTGTCTCTCATACCCTGCCCCCGTACTCCAGACACTACTATTTTGTGCGCTGGCATGTCGTTAGATAATTTTTCGCTTGGCTAACGCATTACAGTGAAACCTGCTTTGAGCTGACTTTGCTTGTGAATAGGAGAATTCTTGATTAACATATTTATGATTACAATTTGTTTTAGTTGGCATAACTTGTCTAATCCATTTATATATGAAGTGTGAATCAAGTATTATTATTTTGTTATTATTTATTAATATTAATAATAAACATTTGTGTTTATTGCGACAGACTGATTGAATCACGAAAGCTAGCTAACACCAGGTAAAATACAACCTTTATGTTGAAGAAAACGGCATTTAAAGTTTTCTTGGAAAGTATCTAAGAGTTGAACTAGGAAGCGGCAGGTTGCCAGCTCAAATTTAGGAGAACATCATCTTTTAATCAATCCTTGTCTTTTCTACCTAAGCGATTTGACTTTCTCGAATGAATTTTTGCATAGTGAATCGAAAACAGGTCGTTTTCTGAGCAGCGACTACCAAAACAAACATTGAAGTCTTGTTAGCCATATATAATTTTGTAAAAGCTATTCCTATTGTTGGTCATCAATTTGTAACAATTTTGAGCTGTAAGCAAGCTTGACTGTGCCTGTCAAATGAGCTTGTGGTATAGTTGCTGCTCCTCCCTATTCCCTATTCCCTGTTACCGGTTCCAGTGCCGGTTCCGGCTGCCTTGAACAATTTTAAAGCGCACTTCTGGGCGCACATTGAACATCAGCGCGCTTGGACAACAGTTGGAGACGGCGACGGACCTCGTCTAATTTCTTTGGGCAATTTTTTTATGGTGTTCGCCTTACAAATGAGTTTCTGCTTGGGACAAGGCCAATTCCGTGGCTCCCTAGGGAGCAGGGCCGAGGGGGGGCAGGAGCGTGTGTCAAGCTATGAGTTGGTCGTTCAGTTCTATTGCCTGCTTTATGACAGTTTCATAGACTTTTTATGTTTATGTCCCGAGCGTTTAGTGACGCAGCTGTTGCGCCATGGACATCACTTGTACAACGCGGGGCGTGGGTGTTCGGGCAGGCTGGGTGGCTGGGTGGCTGTGGCGGGGACGGTGGGCGAGAGCGGTTGTGGAGGCATTGCTGTATTCATATTTGCGTTTCTTATCTGCACGTAATTAAGGCAATGGACACAACCGGCTGGTGTTGCTCCTTGGAGGCCTTTGCGCAGTTCTAATCATCGTCGCCATCAACATCATTGGCAGCATGGGCATAGTTAAGGGGGGGGGCGCTGCTATGGGAGCGGGAGACGTTTGGCTGTCATCGGAGCCCTTAACCCTTGGCATCCAAATAGCCGCCTTTATGCCACTAGGCAAACGTCTGTTGCCGCTGTTGTTGTTGCTGTTGTTGCCAAAACTATTTGCCTTTCACAATGCTCGCGGGAGCAATAATGTCTGGCACTCTGCGTTCCCCCTGCGCAGCAGCAGCTGCTGCTGTCAAACCAGCCCAGCAGCCCCTTGTGGCATCTCGGCGCAAGCCCTCATCATCATTGTTTGTGCCAGCTTGTATTTATTTCATCTTGTTCTTGCCACCAAAAAACTGTGCTGCGAGTAATTCAACCAGCCAGCCCTCAACATATTTGCACCTGCGGCATTTTCCGATTCATACAAGAGGCTTGCCTCCACCCGCCCACCGTTCCACTTGCCATCTCAGTTTGCAGCTCTCAACAGCCTTTCACTGATTGGTAACAGGTTACATTTCACAGTTAACAGATTTTTGCTGTTGATTTTGCGTTGAATTTTTAATTACGCGCACTTTAATGGTAGCTTCCTTCATCATTTGTCTGCGCTGTCCGTTTACCCACACTGATTGTTCGTTTTGTACAGGTCACAGGGTTGGAAAACACATTCGAAATAAACATTTTCGGTTCACAATAGTTGAACAGTTTTTAATTTCTGTTGGCATCAGGTAAATATATACGAGTTCACAGAATCCGTATTTGATGTATGTATAGAAAGGTAGGATACTTTCGTGATCAAGTTCGTACAATATCGTCTATATTCTTCGTCTATCTCATGCATCTATCACTGTCTATGCAAATTCGCCCCTTACTCTATAAGCTATTATTTAAAGACATTGCATAGCTTTTCATCTATTGACTAATTTTTTAGCTTTGCATTGAGCTTAACATATAGAAAAGAGATGGAACAGCATGGAATTGCTATATTCTAAAGCTCTTAGGTAAAAATCGGTTGA